AGTTATAATATAACTCTTTGTACCCCCCCCCACTTTGTCGCCAGATTGGATCCCAACACAAACGCGATAATGTGAGCGGCTGAAGCACCAGACTATCCATTTGCCACATATCGAGTGCACATGCGCCATTGTACCATCTAGCATGGCGGCGACCATGTATCCGAGACGCAGCGGCAGGCGTCCAAAAGGTAAGGCACTAACTGTGAATTCTGGGCGCTGAATTTGGACTATTTGGGAAGAGTCTGATGGAGGAAGCAATGATTGCTTGTCTGCTTGTTTTCAGGTCGCCATGATAGCGGAGACGCGGATGTGCCGCTGGATTTAAACAAAGGTGTGTTTCAAATCGTCATCGCCGGTGTCATTTGTCAATTTGTCATGTTCCCCAAGTAGGCCTATGCTATCACATGTCAAAAGTCAGTCGTGATGGTTATGGTGTACTGTACATGGGCTATTAATAGTATCACTGATCATGGGATATTACCCCAGAACTATGGGGTCTGACGTCTGCTCCTCTCCGGGATATCAGATGGGATATCGGACAATTATATGATTTGACTGTTTTTATTGATTGGTAGGCAGGCCTAAACTATGTAAACAGATAATGACCATGCATGATCTGATGATGACATACGATTGTCAGTTTTTTGACATTATGGACATTGCCATTGCAATTTGCATCATTGCCATTTGGATTGGATAACAAACAAGTTACTAAACTTGAAAACTACCAAAAGGTGTAAATCTAACAATAGTCGAGGAGGTAAAAAATTGAAGTTTTCTTAAAGAATACTTGTAAGCCATGTATGATGTAGGCATTGTAGGCCTAATGTTAGGCCTGTAATATTCACCTGTCGCAGGCTAAATTTAACTAGCCTAAACGATCTTTAGCCAGACTCGTGCAGTAACTGTTTTGAGACAGCTGAGAATGGAACCCAGCTGGGAGCTGAGCGAATCATGTGATGTGAAGATGTGTGCACTTTCCATTAAACCACAGACCCTACTTGGAATGGGGGTCCAGACATGTAGTCTGTTGGGATAACTCGACTGAGCACAACTTGGCGGTTAAGACAACTCGACCTTTGAAACAACTCGACTGTCAAGACAAGTCCTCCATTGAGACAAGTCGACTTGTTTATGTGGGTCGTGTCTGGCTGTTTAGTAAATTTCCCGGTCCCGGACAGGATAACCCCCATGAAGTTTGACTTCACAATTCAAGTCAGCGCCGGTAATCCATCGCACTGCAGTGCGTGCGGGATGCGGCCGGCTGCCGTGTTTCCTTTTTTGTGCCATGCATGCCCCATCCGTTGCCATTAGCCGCAAAACCGAGTGTGCCGTGTCCTGAGGCCTGTGTGTGAAATATGTGCAAATTTTGCCCAAGCACATCGCCAAGCAGTTTGTGCTAAGTATTGATCTCCATTTATTATAAGGAGATCAGTGCTTAGCACAAATTCTCCATTGATCTCCATTAAAATGGAGATCAATGGTGCTTATAGCTTAACATCCGCATGTGCTTGACACGTACTTGTCTCTGGTTTGGAGTCAACTTGTCTTTACTTGTCTTAACGGTTGAGTTGTCCATCGCTTGAGTTGCATTAACAGTCGAGTTGTCCTGAGTCGACTCAGTCGAGTTGTCCCAACAGATGAGTTGTCCGTAACCCTTGGAAAGTAGTGGTAATGTATACGTATTGAAGAGGTTGTTGTCTACTCGTAGACGGCAAACTACTGTTTACTTGTAGTTGAATTTAGCTGGCGATGGCTAAATGTCCCCTGTCTTAAGAAAACTTAGACTTTTTCCACTTTGCAGACCATAGATTCTGTGCAATAGGTCTAAGGTGCTGGCCGGCAATGGAACTCTTTCCAGTATTTTTTTCATAACTTTTCTAGAACTGCCTCATCCACGCACAATTTATAGGAAATAGATGTTTTAAGTAAAAATTTTGAAAAGCAAAGGTACCCTGTAAGAAGAAAGACTTGCCTTCCAGTTTCATATTTAAAAAGAAAGTGGCCATAGTTACAAGCAGCTGGAATGGAATTTCCTTAAGGCCATAGTTGTGGCATTGTAAATTACCCATTGTCAAATCAGTGTCAAGTTTGCATTCCACCAAACTAGCAACGATAGCTGAGGTGCTTCATGTGCAGAATGTTTGCCGTGGACCAGGATCCGGGTTTCAGCCATGCTTCAGTGTCCATTTCCGTTTTTTTTTTTTGTCTGCAGTTCTTTTTTTCCCTATCATATCCCACATTTACTTTCCAGAGATATTGTTTTTTCCTTTTTGAGGGGGACCTTGGGGAAATTCATACCCCTGGAAGATTTTTTCAAAAGGATAATGAGTCTGAGATCCAATCATTGCATACTGGTCTGGTTCCTTTTTTCTAATGCTGCTGATGGGTGCTATATATGTAAGCTAAAAAAAAAAAAGGCCAGAGTCACCTATACCCAGCAAGAAATGAGACAGAGGGGTACCCCCTCAACATGTCCAATCCCTATACACATTCCAGACTATTGTTACTTAACATATCCCCCAAGATGTCTGAAAGGAATTCCCCAGATTCCTGCGAGACAATGACCAACACAAAGCTCTCCTCATACCTTGCTGCATATGGAGTCACCAGGCCGGAAAAATGTGATTGGTCAATTCTGAATGAAAGAGTTTCAAATCCTGATTTTGATTGGCCAGTAGTAATATTAATGAAGATACACCTCTTTAATCAAAGGAACTGTATACATTTTAGCAAATATCATCTATTCCAACTTAATACAGTGTCTTTGTGGAGACCTGAGAACAAGACTGATCCATATGATTCAGGCCTTTGCATACTTGTACATGTATGTACATTTCTGTGTATCAAATTTTTACAAGTATTATACGGTACACTCCTAGCTTTATATCTGGATTGCCCTTCCAGCTATTTTTGACACCCACGAGAACCAAAAATCCGTCGCTATCTTACGGTTGTCACTGTGTGGACGTACATAGTGTGGGGCATTGCACACAAGGAAGGAATTAATTTGTGGCCCCGTGACAAGATACTGTGTCCCCAGATCAACCATTGTGGAAATAACAAATTAATCAGCGTGCTTCATTACAAGACGATGCATCAGATAAGTCCCCCCTCCCTTCCACCTGCTACGTTGTTGTTGTCATGATAGGCAGGTCATTCTTGAAATGAGTCGCCCTGCTCAAATTACTTGTCATGAGCGCGCAAGCTGTGAGTGTGAAAGTGAAGCAGGCTCTCTCAGACGAGAGAACAAGACTCTCCAAAACTAATCAGGAATTCATCAATCCCGCCCACATCAATTTTTTTTTTTCGATTCCAGGAATTTTATCTACTGATAATATGTTTGGGCATGTATTTTTTTGGGGGGGAGGTTGTTTTTTTTGTTTTGTTTTTTTGAGTTGGGTTCTTTTCTCAGTCAAAACAGCAAGGATGCTGAACCTTGGGAAGCAATTTGGTTTGGGCTTGTGGGCGTTGATTAGGGGCCGGGAACCTGAGCGCTTGTACCTGGACAAAAGAAATATGCTGAAAATGCCCGACACTAAAAAATACAAAACTCGGACTGTAGTCCAGGTCCGAGACTGATTTTGTACAATCCTTGTTTTTCTAAACATCTTATTTTCTCATCAGGCCAAACAAAGAAGTGTCGTTTCTGTCACAGAAACTGAAATTACGGTCCGAATTTTTAAAGGCATTGTTTTTAGAGTCGGAGTAGTCAATGGTTCGTTGTCTTACGGTACATGTGTGTAGCTTGATTCCTCATTCTATGTGTCTTACATAACGTATTTGTCCCTGCAAGACTTGTTTGTATCATTTACTGAAGGTCCGAATACGTACATTTACCGTGGCATATCTAACGAACCAGCGAATTGACCGTTGCGGCGACTTTCGGGGGTTATCTCATGAACTGACAAATAGGTTTGACAGAAGTATTCAAACAAAGCATTGCTCACAGAGCCAAAATACAAATTACGGAACGATTTCAAAGACCAATTTGGTATCTGTTATGTATCAGAGATCAAAAGAGGGTTGAATTAAATATCGAAAATGAGCATGCACATTATCTGCTTAACCGAAAACGTGCTTTCTCGAAAGCGGTGATATTTCATATTTGTCGGCTTGTCTGATATGCGACGATACATATTCAATATACATAATTGGACTTATTATTCACTGTATACATGTACGTTAACACTGCTTAGGCCTACACATCACTGTTATAATCACTGGTTGAGTGGTTAATGCAATTCGACAGCAGATAGTCACGGTTACAAACACACAAGACCGAGCTCATCTTTGTAAGCCAACAAGCTAATATATGAAGCTCAAAACTTTACAAAATGCGGGATGATATATCTTACGCACAAAAAAATAGGTCCCGTAACTTTTGGGGGCTGGCACCGTTAAAAAAACGGTTTCGCAAAAGTCCTAGATTGGGCGGGATTACCAGAAATACCACTACCTTTGTTTTTGGTCGCACTCGAAGCACTTGGCGAGCATGGCAACAGTCATCGCTGCTTCAGCTTGATTTCTGCCAAATTATCTCAAAAAGTTCAGTATTCTTTCTCAGTTGAAAGACTTTCAACCATAACACTAGTTGTCCGTCCGTCAAACCTCATTAAATGTCACCAGCAGCAGTGATATATTGCCACAGGTACAGTGTTATTAACGCTCTTAGGTCTTCATGTATATGTACACACGTACAATTGTACTTAGACTGCACCCCGTGATGCTACCGGTAGATCTATAAGGATATTGCTAGTACCATGTTAAATGTACCTACAGTTGCTTCCCACTCCAAATCATGAAAAACTATTCAAAGATTTTGATCAATTAAAGTGCCCATGTCCAGTTCAAAATTGTTGTAATAATGATGACGCGGTTGTGTTGGGCTAAGGCTGACGTGCATCCAACAACCGGGTGTTTTTTTAGATTGGTTTGAATGCACATGATACACGTGCTCAGTGATACACACGAGCCCAATTCTCGACAGAACCATTTGAACTCCTGTGAAATCTCCAGCCCCATCTACTCATCTGTTCGCGATTTTGTCGCATGGCAATGCTGCATGTGTCCGTGTCAAGCCTTGATTGGCTACCAGTCAGATTTCTACAAATGCTGTACAAGTCCTGTGTGCTGTGTCGGAGAACTGCATTTTCCCATGCCTTGACATTTCCAATCAGTGCACTTGACCTTGGTGTACACTTAATTGTCGGTTAAGAGCGTTGTACCGCCTGGCCCTTTTCATTAAAAAAAAAGTGCATACACTATACAGGAGGCTGTACAGGTACCGTACATCTATGTACAAGTACATTTGGTAATGTCTGATGCTGCATACATGTACAGGTACATTTACACCTCATTTTTCTTGTAAGATTGACCAGGCTTTGCCCAGTGTGGCAATTTGGTGCCAAACCCAACAAATGAATCAATGTGCCATATAGACATCATGATATTTAGGAGGAAATATTGGTACATACATATTCAGTTTTCTGTGGCTGAAAATGTACATCTTTATAATTGAAGTGGAAGCATCTAAATATTCGATTAATGAGTCAGTCAACCTTGACTTGGGGTTTCTGGTTTTTAAGAGCTTCCTTTTGGCGAGGGTTTGCTGATTTTGATGCCAGTCTAATGCTGTGGAGTGGTCTGGTATTTTTAGCCAGTGGTAAAAGTTATTCAGCTGAATAGCTCTAGCACATCCCTAGAACTGAACATAATGTATCGACAGTACAAAATCAACCTTGTTAGCAACGCCCATGCATTCCTGTTTGGTGTTACCTGTTCATCTTGTGCGAGGGTGCTATCAAACAGAAATCATTCTGAAGTCATTTATCCCATAAAATCCAAAACAAGGGCCACTAATGCAAAGGTGGTGTATGTACATGTTGAACCAGCACATTATAAGATTGACCTGGGTCTGCAATGCCAAACCATTTGGAATTGGAAGGTACACTGAAGGGTATGATACATGTATATCAAAAATTGCACATCTATGGACAGTCATTTGCAAAAGTTTAGGACCACCCGCAGAAAATGCATTAACCTGAAGGAAAACCAAACTTACATGTAAACCAATCAATCATGGCAACTTATGTTTATTTTCAATGTGTAACCTTGGTACATGTACCTTGGTTGCACATTTTTGACTACATTTCCATGATTTGACATGTTAACAGTCTCATATTCAGTGCTCCCTCCTCTATTTCTGATTGCATAGACTGGGTTTTTTTCCCCAAGCTGCCTTACAGACAAAATGTCATACAAGACCTGCCTTTGCAAAAAATTTCATTCAAATGGGTATATAGCATTACACCGATGTTATGCACCACTGTAAAAACATGTTAAGTAATCATTCAATCAGACAATGTAATGCAGGCCCAGTGACAGAAATACCAATAAAATCCCAGGTGGTCTTAAACTTTTGCAAATGACTGTACATGCCCCTAAGGTTAAAGACGGACATTGTAAGTGTAAAGTTACACATAAGTCAACGGCAAAAGCACTCTTCTAAAAAATATCTTCTCAGTGCTGCATGGCCAATCTTTTTTTTTGCAAGAAATTCGATCTAAATCTATGAATTTTCCAGGTGAACTTTCCGAGCCCATAACACACAATTTATAATATTCTGACGGCAGTGTGCACCTCTAGCCCCCTGAAAAAAAAAAAACAAATGTGTGCACAAACGGTCTAAGGGCTTGCCTGTGCATGATTGCAAAGTATTGGCCCAAAGTTTGTGGGGAGTTTTGATTACACGCCCCACCATTATCAGATTTTTTGCTGTTTTTTTTCTTCTCCAATTAACCTTTAGTCTGGGTGACACACACAGCCAACTCTGTGGCCTCATTATCTCCCTGGAATCTCTGGGCACCTCATCTCGGTGTATGATTTCATCCTGCCGAGGGCAAAGAAATCAATGGGGAAAAAAAATTCACGGTTTCTCTCGTAATACGGGTATTAAATAACGAGGCTGCAACAGCCGGGCGGTCACTCGGCCATTGCGGACCGTGGGTGCAGCCACGGCAGGAGTTTACAAGCCAATTTGCCCAAGGCCCGCCGCACGTAACCATGATTCTCTTGAAATTTTCAGAGCCGGCTGATAATGTGCGGGATATCCTCGTCCATGTGGTACAGGAACGGAACATCAACCGGGGCAGGCGGGTGGCTTACCTCAACAACTTTGTCAAGGTGGGTTGCTCAACTCATTATTTTTTTTGCATGTAAATACCTAGGGTTTCAGAGACAAGATTTGCACAACTCTTGTGTGACTGGTCATAGCAGGCGATATGAACCAATTAATATGATTCTTCCTCACAGTTTATTTATTTACGAGTCAGACTCTATGGTCGGTCTGCTGTTATAAACCTTCATTTCGTCAGTGTTGAATCACACTGTGTGGACAGCCGTTACTTTCCCTGTGTTTCAGTCATGTCATGGCTGGCCTGCAGTTTTTCTCAAATCTGCACATTTCAGGAAAAAAAAAACCCATGTGCACGGCCGTTGTCATGGGTCCACCTGTTTTGGGTGTCCATGTTATGAACACCGTGTTCAAAACAATGATTTAAACATGGTTAGGTTACACATAAATCAGCCATGCAGCTTTATGTCAGCTAAAAGTAAACTGTATTTTAAGTTTGGCAAAACCCAAATTTTGCAAAGAGTTATTGTACATTGCTCTGCCATTATGACAGGTCTTTGTAAAAAAAGGTGCACTCGTGATTTGGGTCGTGCACATGTACCCGTAAGTATTCTGTGTGTGTATGGGCATGTAGGGCATGTTACTAGAAGAAGTCCAACTTGACAGACAGAACGTACATGGACATGTAGCAATGTTGGAGTTGTTGAAAAAGCTCCCCACTTTTGCCATTCCGTGTTTGTTCTAATCTCAAAACGTGAGCGATACATTATGTGTACAATGTACATATACCCCAGTATAATCAGAGACTTAGTGGCTTTGGTGCCCATGCCAACTGTAGAGAGCGTGTGAGGAAGGGGGGTTGACCGTCCGTCGCCCGGTCACGTCACGTCACCTTAAAGGTCTGGTTTTGTCAGGTGCCAATATGAAAGATGGGTATATTGACTGAAACAGGCGAAGGGGGGGGTCTCCTGTCTCTGGCATTCCTGCCTCTGTCGTCTCTTGGCCGGAGAGATTGGTTTGGAGTGGAGATTGGTTTTAAGGGATGGGAGAAGAAATTAAAGAAGGCAGATGGATTTGTGAAAGGGATGAACCGTGTGGAGGCTTCAGGTTTCATCATTTAGGCAAAGACAGTGACTGAATATTTTGGAAAGAAGACAAAAGTAGTTACTATGTGGAAATTATATAAGAACTCACACATCCTTTGAAGTGAATACATGTATCATCCGTAAATTGCATTTTTTGAAGAGGGTTATTCAGACAGAGGCTTATGAAAATTCAAATTTGACAAAAGTGTTGAACAACGGCTCATAATGTACACTTGGAAAATGTTTATTGTTTGAAAATAGCCCCAAGTTCATACCGGTACATCGTAATCAAGTGCAAAATATCACAAAAGATTGAGTTGTCTCCGGGACGCGAAAGTTAATCAGTCTTTGTGCATGAAGCACCGGTATGAGCCCTGAGCGCGACCAACAGAGGGACGCAATTTTCCTAGCAATGGAGGCTCCTTTGGCAGGAACTGCACTTCGCTGATTCATGAACGACTTTTGAAATTTTGCATGCATTGCAGTCGTCCAGCTACCAGCAAAAATGAAAACTCCCGACCAACCTGGATCTTTTTCAACCCATGGGGGGTGCCTCTGCTCAAGATGGATACAGTGGTCCCTTGTACTGGGGTCGCTCACTGAAAATGAGTCCTAAACACTGGTCACTTGGTTACCAGGGCCATTTTCCAATACTCAACTTCGTCTTCATCTCAGGCTTTGTTCCCAAAACCAATCCCCGATTGTAGGCCTGAAATTTTTGGTTCTTTTGCATCTTATTTGATGTTTTGTGGACTAATTATTGCGCTTACAGCTTCAAAGTTAGGTAGTAAAAAAAACAGTTGAAGCCGAGATGGAGCCTAAGTTGAGTATTGGAAAACGGCCCAATTCAAGTGAGGTTAATATCTAAATGTGTATGAACCATTGCTGCACCCCTAAGTAATATCTTCAAAGTAATATCTATTTTCTACACTGTGAAATATATACATGTACATGTACAGTATATGGATTTTTTAATAATGTCAAACCTCTTAGATTTTGATGTTCCTTAGAAGATTGTTTGGAACAGCACTAAACCTTAGAATTCTACAAATGCATAAGTTTTCCAGGTTTACAGGAATGGCTGGTTCTGTTCTAAGTTACTCATGGTTAGGCTGATATCTGTGAAAAATAACTCCAAGAAACCAGTGTGATTAAACTTGACATGTTAATCAAATGTGGTAACAATTGTATATACACGTACATGTATGTGTGGATATTTTCATGTGCTGGAATGCAACTTTAGAAATGACACAACCAACCATATCAATACCTGGCTGACCCCCTCGGCAAATGTGCCAGAATGTCCCGACACATGAACCACCTTCACGGAAAAGACTATTCATGTCATTTGCACCTTGTGTTGTTCAGCTGTGCGGCAGATCCTCATTTCTTCCGGGTGCAAAATGTCAACGTACATGAATGTCTGAAATGTGAGACCTTCTGTCAACATGCGAGTCCTTGCCGTGGCGTGCACTTCACAGAATCTCTTAAACTGTTGGTGGTACCGGGTATTATTAACCCGATGCTATAATGTCTGCATTCACCCAAACATGCAGCACCTACACATGCTCGTAACTCAAGTAGCCCGTCGTACAGTCCGTTCCAGGAGGCAGATATTTTGCTAATTATTTTTTTGTTGTGTTTTTTTTTCCCTAAGCGTTAGTTAAGTGTTGCAGAGTGATTGAGTCGAATGCCCCTGGAGTATTCTTGGTACACTAACCTTTACATACGTGTACATGTACCTAGTGTGGACCTGTGAGCCAAAGATGTCCACAGGGAAGATGCTCTGTGGACTTACCCACGTCCACAGGACATTTCCCCTTCTCTAAAGAAGTTAACAGGCATTTTGGGGTTAGGGTCATCGCCATAAAAGGGAGAGAAACAGTCGAGGAAAACGTTTCATAAAAATCCAGCTGAAAATCACGCTTCCAGTTCTAGAAAACTATTATTTTCTCCGAGTTTTCTTAACTGCATGAAAACAACGGAATGTCCACACTAGGTCTGTAATGTGTGTGATCCACATGCATGCATGTCAGATTTAATTTGGTATTGAAAGTGAAAATAATTACTCCAGAGACGCTCACAGTTTATAGAGAATGGGATTAGTTAGTTTGGCTAACAAATGTGCAGGGTTTGTTACACAGTATTTTGTGATGCAGTTTTTAGTCTTGTCGTTTTGATGTGGGTACATGTATGTGTACATGTACGTGTACTTGATAAGCAGTGTAGAGTGAGCTTTTCCTTCAGCAGGAATAATTGAATATAAATTACCCAAACCGTAGCATTCACCATTTTCAATAAATGAATGATAAATTAATGTACATGCAGTAGTCAGATGCTGTACTGTAGTTCAGATAACGGGTTACAATGCATGGTCCTATCTCTTGGTACCTGGTACATGTATACATGTGCCGTGCACACAATGTACCGGTAGTGCATTTGTATACATTATCCAATGAGGCCCCTGTCAGTTCATATCCGAGAAGCCATCAATATTTGCTTTCCCATTTTCGTTGCACAACTGTTAAAAAAAAATCCCCTTTCAAGAGCTTTTGCAAAGCGGGTTCATAATGTCCATGTATCGGTACATGCACAGGGACATTGCACATAAGGGTAGTGCGTGGCGCCAGAATTTCTGGTATTGCCAGAATCTTGTTTACCCATTTTTGCAAAGTGGAATGGATATCCGGTCTCAATTCGGGCCGGCCAAGTAGCAAATTAGACTATGCAGACGTCGGGATTAATAGTCCGTTCCGGGCATATTTTTTGTTCAGTATTCATCCCCCAGGTCGTCTCTTTTGTGCCGTCTCAGTTTCGTGATCTCTTTCTCTCACACTCTCGACTTTCTAGTCCTAATCCGTGCGCCGTCCCAATTTACCCCTTGCTAGCGTCCCGATGCTGCCGTTAAATGTTTCAGCGTTACGCATTTTGCCACTCTGTGGCACCCTCCTTTGACAGCGCCGCAAGGGCAGTGTGCTCTATCTGTCTGACTTCCGTAATCATACCCACTTGAACATGCACATACATAAGTACAGTATGCACCTGTATTTAAGTATTTCTGTGATATGAAAACTATGTACATGGCTGCAGTGTTCTGCATCATGCACAAACAGCTTTGATTCCCCAATACATATCAAGACACATGTTTAAATACACGCACATGTACATATTAGTACATGTGGTTCTGTATGTACTTGTAAGCCCCACCCCCCCTCCCTCAAAACAAAAACAGTTCCGCATCCTGTGACATGGCACATCTGTTATCATTGACATAAGGAATTGTTTTCAGTAGGTACATGTACTTTGTACGTCTAGGATATGTAGGAAATGTTTTTGTTTTTAGTACCTTTTTAAATGCTGATTCATGGTAGGGTTTTAAAGGTGCTGAGCGATAACACTAAACAACAGCAAGAGAGGCCGGCTGCCATTTGTTGCAAAGAAAACGAGCAGCATTTTCAAGGGTACTAGACGCATGCATGAACAAGTCCATTGAATCTCTTGGCACCTCCTTCATGCTACAGTAGGCGCATTTTTCTGTTCATTTTAATTTCACGTTTTCCCCTAAAATTCCCCCTCAAAAAAAAAAAAAAAAGAATATATGACAGGTTTTGCCATCAAAATACATCAAGGGCTGGACCGGAAAAACATACATACATGTACATAATTTTTTTTTGGGGGGGCGTAGTGATTGTGTAAATCCTGTACTTTGGAATGTAATTTTTAATTTGTCTAAATGGTACTTTTTTGGCAATATTCTCTTACCCCGTCTATTGTAGTGTCTCAGTCTGAATCAAAGAGTGATATAAAACTGAAGTGGGAGAGAAAAAAATGAATGTGATTTGCTGAGTGATTCCTATTGTAATTTCATCGATCATCCCTTCGGCGGCAGCGATGGGGGGGGGTTGTTAAGGGAACCTATTCCCCCTCGAAGCGCTGTTGACATTTTACTCCGAATGCATGAATTCATAACCGTGTTTATGATGAATGAGATACGGTATCGCAGGCGATGGCATTCCCTTACTTCCTCTTTCCTCCCCCCCCCTCTCCTCGAGGAGGTAGAATCGAGGACAGACGCGACAGGGTTGCTGAGACGGGCCCCGGTCCATGCAAGCACTCTGTACATCGCCTCTTACTTACGAAATTGCAACGATTAAATATTGGTCTCTCGGGGTGTATATGGTCAAACTGTGGTTATCTTTATCTGGGCACAATCGCGCAATGAATTTTTAATGCAGAGATGTGTATGTAGCAGTGTTGACTAGTACAAAATATAATACATGTTGTCCCGAAGACAAAATGATTGGCCGGTAAAATGACAGAAATCAGCTATTAAAATGAATGCTGTGTTTGTCTGAGTAGGTCTACAATGTGAAACAATATTCTCAGTAAGAAAACATCCAGTAAAAAGCTGCCAAGTACATGTACATGACAAAAGGAATTTTTACATGTTCACCCTTTTCCTGCTGCAGTTCTTTTTTACATGTATATGTCTGTTTTTTTTCTATTAAAGAACCATTCAGAGATGGTGCATGTACATGTATTGCCCGCATCCCCACCACTCGGACTGATGTGGCCATGCCCGTTTGAGGTTGCCGTTTGCAGAAATTGATTTCCCTCGTTATGTCTTTGTCTTGCAGGTCATCAACCATGTATCCAGCATTGAGAAGCTTGGGCACCCCATCATGGAGATGGTTGGCTGGTAGGTTATGTTCCTCGTACAGTGTACAGTTCATTACATTTGCTCCATGTCTGTGTATGACCATTAGCCCTAACAGTCCTCAATCCTCCGTTTTCATTATTTGACACTCACCATTCTGTAGGGGTTTAAAGTTACATGTACACCATATGTGTGCGATCTCCCACAGTGTCCCCCAAAGGGAGTCTTTTCGGGGCTGAGTAACTCCACTATTTGGAGTGAAATTGGTTATCAGGAGAATTTTCTTCCCTGAATGTGGAAAGACTCCCATCCCCATATCCCCAAAGATAAAACACCTTCAAGGCTTGGAAGAGGTGCCATAATAATCCGGGAAAGACTGATTAGTCTCATTTTAAGGTGTGACTATGACATATTCCCCTCTCTGTTGCAAAATATGGGTCTTTGTTTTTCTCATCTTCTGCCACCCCTTCAGTGGACTTTTTGTAACCATCACTCCATACTCAACCACATGCCATTGAAGATTATCCATCCTTCGTGATGTTTTTCCAATTTGGATAGTAATGTAATAAAACCAAGTAAATTAATACAAATAGGACTCAAGGTAACAATATTTAAAGTATTAAAATGGAAGCTTTCTTAAAGTGCCCAATCCATCAAATTGTTCTTACAGTGTTCATTAAAATAAATCCCTCCTTCTGTTTTAACCGTCAAGAACAGTCAAAAATGCCTTCCACTTGATTTCCCCCAGTACACAGACACATGGGAAATTTGACTGATTTTGACTGATTTGACAACTGTGTCAAGGATTTATCTTAGCATAGGAGGGTTTTAAAACAAGCTAAAAACATGGGACATGAAAACTGCTTAAAAATCAGTAAGACAATTAAGCTAAATTCAAAATTAACGCCAAACATGTACGTGTACGCTGACACAAAGTATCTGCTTAAAAAAGGTACGGTAGATTCTCGTAAAGAGCTGGATTAAAATTCTGGCGTGTGATCCCAGGTTGCAAGGTCCCGTCCAGGCTTGTTTTGCTCCTTGACACAGCAGTAGCTGCTCGTCGAACTTTGCCCCGATCCCGAACTAGCTTTTGCTGGGTGGTGTACTTGTAAAAGATTCTCCTGCTCTGAAAAAAAAACAAACTCTGAAGACGTGGACTTCCGGATGGCATTGCTTACATGTATTAAGACCCATACAATGAATTTTTCTCAGATGCATATTTCACGCGATTTTCTTTACTTGCAAATGTCTGAAAACCTATTCCGCGTCCGTTTTTGGTCGACTGTATCGAAAAGTGAACTTCTTTAAACAATTGTCTACACTTTTCTGGATGACTGAGGGTACCTCGTCGCCGTGATGTCGTTCCTGCGAGGCACAGTTCAGATTACGGATTTTCTGTTCAAATTATGAATCCGGAATTTGCTTGCAGAGAGCAATTGTGCAAAAGGGTTAGTCATCGGCTTACTGCAGTGTACCGTAGATGGACTTACACAACAATGAATCACCAATGAAAAGAAAATACATGTGCATGTGCATCTTTTATAACAGCCAAATTGCCCAAATTCTGTGCGTAGCATTTTCCATACATGTATCTGCAACATTGAGGTTTCTGCTAAGAATGATATCGCAGTTGGTTGTTAATGAATATGGAAAAAAAAAAATAAGATAAGGTTAGATGGGATACAAATGTCAGTTTTTAAGGATGTTGTTTTAAAAAAGAAACTGCATTGTTTGTGTGCTTTGATTCTAAAGATGAGCGCACTCACACCATTTTTATAGCAGCAACTGCCATCTGCAGTGAAACCAAGGTGAGGCCCAGTGTGTTTGGAAGCGTACAGCTGTCCTAGGCCCAAACAGTGCACACACGCGGCCCACACGGACTGTGACGTGTGCACAGTCTTAGTCAATTATTGATGAGAATTAGGGCACAAGCTGTGCTCACGCACTCTCACATCTATTAATAACGCCCTGGGCCTTATTAATAGAATATATCCCCGGGGCCATTTTCTTGGCGGGGGTTGCGACCCTCCCTAAAAAAGGCGCAAAAAACAAACGTTTCAAAGTACATGTATACATTGACTTAGTGATTGGAAGTCGACATACATGTACTTGTACACATGTACAGTACCTGTACGGCCATGAAGATCTCAACACCATAGTGTCCTGGTCGAGGTTGTTGCACTAATTGATTAATGCATTCCTTGGTTTTTATCCCTTCCCGAGTCCAAAAGGCTGGTACATGTTTAAGGTTTTCCCTGCCTTTTCAAACCTGACGCGCCCCACCTCGCAAATTTCATTGACCAATGCTTGTGGGCCCGTCTTGCCGCCTCACACCAAAACAAAATAAAACAGAAGGGAAATAACAGACTTTGGAACAGTTCCCCTCGGCGTTGCTCTGGCTGGCAAAGAAGGCCGCGGAATGGAATAGTGGTTCATCCAGAGGAACTGGAACGAGAGTAGATGCGCCCTGAGAGCATTTAATTGTATCAGACCCCGTCAAAACAGCCAGCAGTGTGTACGTTTGCTGTGGGCACTCTCATATTGTTAAGTTTCGTTTGGGCACCCCATGCTCGTCAGTGCACCGGGGGGGGGAACCTGTTTTGAAACCGATCAAAGCAAGTGGTTACTGGGGTGAAAAGTACTGGACAGTTTTGAAGCTGAGTCTTGCGCCGACAACAAGCATTGGAACTTCATTTCGGTGCACTCACAAATGGTCATGACAGCACGCCCCAGTCAAGGAGTAAAATGTCATTTCGGGATTTGCATATAAACAGAAAGATGCCCCTCCCCAAGGGAAATAAGGGGAGACTATATGCGCATGAAGTGGGAATTGCAGATGTGGAAAAAGGAGGAGGCAGGCTATCAGCGCTTTGGGCCCTAGGGAAAAAATGACTCAGTAGTTCTCAGGACACTGTCAAATCTGTTGCCATTTTAAATGCACGAGGTCCCTGACTTTAAATCACATTTTACTCGTACGAAAAACTTCCATTTTAGTTCAAACTCTTCTTTTTGTGGAGAAAAAAGGATCTTGGGCTTTTGGGGGAGGGGGGAAGGCTTGGACTCTGACTCTCTGTACGTCTGCCTCAAGGTGACAGGCAACTCATACCAGGAGGATGTTACAGTGGCTCTTAAAAAGCATGAGACTTCTGTTGGGTTGATATGAATGTGTGGCCGAGAATATTCTTGTAGTTGTCTTCAGTCACCTCACCTGTTTGGAGGAAATGGAAAACTGCCGACAAACGTAACAGGCAGTGTCTTAATCGATTCCGTCTCGAGTCCTCTCACCGGTCCTTGACGAGTTTAGCTGCACTGTCGCAATTCCTTTCTTAAGACCAGTCCTGAGTGACATCTTTACAATGATGAAGGTATTCTTTTGTGATAGTTCATTGGATTACAATGTAGGTTGTGACTTGGCTTAACTCTAAAAGAGCAAGGACGGGAATCTGCCCTCCTCGATTTTTTGGTAATATTGTCACAGTGCATTTTCTTTTACACGCCCAGCCCTCCGGAGTTTTACAGTAATGTCTTGCAGTCATTTTGACAGCAATTTTTGTGAAATGGGACCTACTGTTGTTGCACAGCCCCTATCTTTTCTGAGACAGATCAGCCAAAACTGTACACTTTTTTCCCCACCGATTTGCTTGATGCGTGCGGGCCACACGTGCACAGCCTTGAACTTGACATGGCCATAACAAACCAAAGCATGAGTTGGATTTGAGTTTAAACTTCACATTTGTGTCGATAATGAGTGTCTTTATACATATATGTGCCAAGTTTGAAAAAGATTTGGTATGGGACAGTTGAGTTCTTGGGGAGGGGGGCAGAATCCACCCCTCCTTGGTCGAAAAAAGTTCTTGTAGGGTTAAGAGTGGGTGACTTGTTAAGGGCTCGCAGGGACATTTGTTGGACTTGACTGCAGAAAGGGAAGGAGTTGGAACCCCCGCCCTCCCACCTCATCGTCAACTCTATGGGAACAGACTTGACCAATACAGTCCGATTGTGCCCTCTAAATCACATGACCTGTAATAGGTATTAAATATCAACAAAACATGGCATCCACCAAGAGCAAAGTGTTTCATAAGTATCATTTAGCAAAAATAAAGCCGACGGTTGGTACCGTACTCAGACTACTGGTGTGCTGGGTACTATTTCGTAACTTGACTGTATTGTTTGTAAACAGCACTCGAAACACACATTGCTTTGGGATTGATACCCACCATAGGTCGATCTATCGTGCACTGGATTGGGACTCTGGCGCATCAGCCGCACTGCCAGGCTGACCTTGAAGTTCTTAAACATTTGCCTCGTTGAGCAGTTACTCGCATGATTCCCCCACCCCTGCAGGCACCAACACACTGTCACGCACCGTTATGCACGCTTGTGAGTGTCACGTTAATTTATGACATCATTTTTACGTATCTGCATGTGTGAATACGTGTACATTTGGGACGTGAAGCTTCACCGTCCCTCCCCCCGGTGGATTTTTTTTGCCCCGAGAGTTTGCAATGGAATATTGGGACATTTATTGGCACAACAAATGTCAGGTTGGTTTTGCTGCCCGGCCTGCGTGTTCTGGTAATGCCGCAGTCCGTCAGCGGATTCATTAGTGCCAGCGCATGAGTGGCTGGCGTGTCTTGGAAATTACATCGTTCATTCATTTTGGCGTCTTTGTTTATCAAGAGATGACAGGGCAGCAGGCTGGTCTGGAACTAAATTCATGCCAAGTCACTCCGCATGACAGCACAGTTTATTCCCAAGAAGCTGATATTAAAGGAAGTCATGGGAGAAGACAGGTTAGTTGTATATTAGGTTACCAACTAACCTGTCTGGTAAATGCTGAAGAGATTTTTTTTTTCTTTGCCTGACCTGTCAAGTACTGAAGTCATGTTGTGCATTTTACAACTGGCAATCAGTTCGTTATCTAGCGCTCAGACACATGTGTACGTAGGAGGGGAACCTTTCCCTGCCCCACCCACCTTCAGGAAATGCGTTTGTTGATACACGACACACATGCACAAATTTTCTGGGAAAGTTTGACTTTG